CTTCAAAGAAGAGTAAATTACAGAAAAGAATTTGGTATTTAAAAAAAAAAAATGCTAGGACTTTATCACAAATGTAACAACAAGCATTCAGAGACTGTTAAAAAAAATTTTAAATTTGCATGCTAGCTTTAAGAGCCCTTCTTCATTTGAATACTTTCGCTTTAGCTCAGGCTACTGCAACATTTTCAGCGACCGCTGGAAGAAAGGAAAACATGCAACTGATGTTCTGGTTGTAAGAACAAGTTGGCATCAGACATACATATGCTGCTTCATAGTATGTTAGCTCCTCCACAACAGACCAAACTGTACACATGCATTAACCCTTACAAAGTCCAGTTAGATTACCTGTGGATGAAAATAGACAAGTTACCTTCACATTTAAAAACACAGAACAAGCACACTGGAAGTTACCATGGACCAGCCAACATGCAGGACAGCCTACAATATGAAGTTAGAATAGCAAAGTACTGATGTAACTGGATCCTTCAGAAAGCGTTTTACTTTGATACAAAACTCACAGTCCAAACAGAGTTGCCAGTTGTGTTTGGGGTTTGGCTATTTTTAAGAAGAAAAGCAACTTACCTTTTGTTCTGGTCACCTGAAAGCACATGAACAAGTGGCTAGTTTATCATAAAGACCTGATCACTCTCTAGTATCTGTACAGTTAGAGTTACTGGGACACTCAAATCCTTTGCAAGTCATTTATATCTTTACTGTATTTAATACAGCTAAGACAACTTCCAGGTTTAAGTGCGTGAGTGCCTTCCCTCTTCTCACCTCAGTACAGTTTGCGGTTGCTATATTGACAATTGTACAACCCTCCAATTTACAAAAGCCTGTCAGATATAATTACCTGCTCTATCATGAAAATGTCCAATACGTATAACATCTATACTAGCTTATCAGCAAAATAAATGTCCATTAATAAACATTCACTTCTTTGAACAACAACTGCATTATCTGAAAAGTGGGAATTAAATTACAAATATGAATCACATCAGAAGAACAATGCCATTTAGGCACTTGGGTTATTTGAATTTTTTTTAATCAGACCAATAATTTCTATCTCAAGTTAACAAAATTTCAAATGTACACGAGAATTGTTCCTTCAAGTTAGGATTATTGAACTTGCAAATTTATTACCATTCTCTACCAAGTCACCTAATGCACCCCAATTATTTTCCTCACAGATATCTAGGCAAAATTAGTTATTACTAATTGGTTGCTTCAATCCCCTCCCTCCCTAGGACCAGGGCTAGCAGCACTCCAGCTTGGTGGTGCCACCTCCTGTAGAACAGAAGTGTAGTGCTCCATGCTGCCATCTGGGTTT